CTCCACAAATGTGGCTTGTATGGGAGGGCTGCAAGAAAAAAGCCACTCCTCAAGAAAGGCCACATGCAGTCATGACTGAGCTTTGCCAAAATGCTAAAATTGAATTATTTGGCCTCAACAGCAAATGATATGTCTGGCGGAGATACAATACAGCTCACAGCATTCCTACAGTAAAGCATGGAGGTGGTAATATCCTGTTATGGGGTGTTTCTCTGCAGCAGGGACTGGAGCACTTGTCAGGATAGAAGGAAAATGGATGGGGCAAAATACCGTCAAATTCTTGAGGAAAATCTGCTGCCCTCTGCTAAAAAGTTGTCAATGGGAAGAAGGTTTACCTTCCAAAATGACAGTGACCAAAAGCACACAGCAAAACTGAGCACAAAGTGGTTAAAGGAGAAAAAGGTGAATGTCCTTGCATGGCCTAGTCGGAGCCCAGACTTAAACCCCACTGAAAATCTGTGGAATGACTTGATGAATGCAGTTCAAAAAAGGTCACAATCAAATTGAGGAGATACAATACAGCTCACAGCATTCCTACAGTAAAGCATGGAGGTGGTAATATCCTGTTATGGGGTGTTTCTCTGCAGCAGGGACTGGAGCACTTGTCAGGATAGAAGGAAAATGGATGGGGCAAAATACCGTCAAATTCTTGAGGAAAATCTGCTGCCCTCTGCTAAAAAGTTGTCAATGGGAAGAAGGTTTACCTTCCAAAATGACAGTGACCAAAAGCACACAGCAAAACTGAGCACAAAGTGGTTAAAGGAGAAAAAGGTGAATGTCCTTGCATGGCCTAGTCGGAGCCCAGACTTAAACCCCACTGAAAATCTGTGGAATGACTTGATGACTGCAGTCCACAAACGGTCACCATCAAATTGAACTGAACTTGAGCAGTTCTGCAAAGAAGAGTGGGCAAATATCGCAAAGTCTAGATGTGCAAAGTTAGTAGAAACAGAGACATATCCCAACAGACTAAAGGCTGTAATTAAAGCAAAAGGTGATTTAACAAAATGGGGCTGATCCTTTTTCCAACTCGGTGATTCTGATTTTATAAGTTGCAGAGTAAATACAGCTGGATAAAAAATTTTTTCTTCATTTCAGGCTGCAAAGCAACAAAACATGGTCATTTTTAAAGTGGGGTAATTTTATTTTCTATACCCACTATATGACTCAAGTTCCTCCAGTAATGTAAGGCTGTGCCCACTTTATGAAATATCTTGAGCCCAGAAGCAATAACACACCTGTCTATACAAACCATTGTTCAAAATATTTATTAGTACATTTAAATGAAACCATAATGCATGGTTTCCTGCTCTTTCCATTTACATGTTTTTGACACTACTGTTTTTTCATCCATTAATTCCTAATATAATTAGAAACTTCTCTTGCACACAGGGGCTCATAATGCACGTCTATCCCTGATGTAAAGCCACCGAATGTACAGTTTAGGGTGTAAGTTCAGGGCCTGAATTATAGAGGGGTGGGGGAACATTGGTTAGTATAACAGGAACAGATGTTGGGTTGAACCCAACAACAACATTTTTGTTCCATGCTTTAGTCTTCCTTTCCCCCCCACGACTTCTTCTACTGCATAATAAAAATTAATATGCAGTGCTGTTTAAATAAAAAAAAAATAGTAATAATAATAATACTGTTCTGTTAAATCAAACTGCAAAAGTGTTTGCCATAGCCTGAGACAAGAGTTTGTACACATTATGTATAAACATTAGTGCTAGCCAGCAAAATATGGAGCCAGATAAGCCTAAAAAAATACATTTACAAAACAAAATTCATAAATGCACAGCACAATTTACATTTATAAAATATGATTCATAAATTCAAAAAACAATTCATAGATACACAAGTAAAAGCATAAATATTTCCCCAAATGCTCACACAAATGCATCTTACCTAAATAAATTTAAAATGTTTACACAAATATGTGTAAATCAAGTTCTTGAATTAATTTCCATCACACATTTATGAATGATGTTACATGTATTTATGGACCATTGAATCTGCATTTGCAAATTGTCACACATGCATGGACTGCTTTGATTTTGTGTGCAGTATTTTTGATACCTTCCTGACGGGTTAAGATTCATGAATATTTTTTTTTGGTGGATCTTGCGTTCAGCCAATTGCCGTGAGCTTTTAATCCACCAATCAAAATGCTCCTTACTGAACAGACTCCAGAAGCTCAATGCTGCACGTGTACTGTGCATTGTTCCATGATCGGGTCCTTGATGTAAAGACATTTGAATGGGTACTCTTTTTATTTAGCATCTGATAACAATTTCTACAAAATCACATTATGATTTATATCGTTCACACAAAATACAGCTACCCGGTTAGCCTGCTTTCTTATACACCAAAGTTGCACATTCAGATCAATCTGTAATGTTATTAAATAAGTGTTAAATGTCCAGATATTTCATTTAATAACAATAATGATGTAATGTGTTCTGTTGTTGTTGTTGTTGTTAGTAGTAGTATCAGGTTCGCAGTAACTTTTGATCATGCATTAAAAACAACTACCACCACCTAAGGGAGATTTTGAACACACACAGTGGAGAGATTTCAGCATGGAGGATGAAAACCAGACTCAACGAGTGAGTAAAGTGTTTTTTTTATCTGACTGCATTTTCTTATGCTTAAAGGTTGTTTTAGTTAATTAAGTGTGCAGTTGGCAGTGTTACAAAGTTGTTAGTCCATGCCAGCTTTCTTATATTATAACTGGTGTTTGTAGGATGGATAATCGCAGGATGAATGGGCGATAAACAATCAATAAAACTGACAAAATTTGTAGTCAGTGGGTTCTAAAGTTGGCATCGTGGCCAGCTATAATCATAAGAAAATGCCATCAGATAAAAAATTACTTTACTCACTCGTTGGTTTTCATTCTCCATGCTGAAATCTCTCCGCTGTGTGTGTAACTTCGAAATCTTCCTTAGGTGGTGGTAGCTGTTTTTAATACCTGATCAAAAGTTACTGCGAACCTGATACTACTACTAACAACAACAGAACACATTACATAATTGTTGTTACTAAGTGGAAAAAAAGAGTACCCATTAAAATGTCTTTACATCAAGGCACCCGATCATGGAACAATGCACAGTACACGCGTAGCGTTGAGCTGCTTGAGTTTGTTTAGTAAGGAGCATTTTGATTGGTGGATTAAAAGCTCACCGCGATTGACTGACCGGAACATCCTCCAAAAAAAGATATTTATGAATCTTAACCTGGCAGGAAGGTCTCAAAAAATACTGCACACAAATTCAGAACAGTCCACGCATGTGTGACGATTTGTCAATGCAGATTCAACGATCCATAAATACATGTCACATCATTCATAAATGTGTAATGGAAATTAATTCAAGAACTTGTTATATACATATTTGTGTAAACATTTTACATTTATTTAGGTAAGATGCATTTGTGAGCATTTGGGGAAATATTTATGCTTTTGTGTATTTATGAATTGTGTTTTGAATTTACAAATTGGATTTTGTAAATGTAAATTGTGCTGTGCATTTATGAATTTTGACATGTAAATGTATTATTTTTGAGGCTGATCTGGCTCCATAACAAAAAGTTGTTTATGGTACATTAATGTTTTGGTGGATACTCATGTGGTGACTTGTTTTTGTTAATCAGCCCCCTCTCTGTCAGGGCTAGAATGTCCAAACTTTTCTACTCCACTCTTGGATTGTCATGCGAACGGGTCCCCCTGCCGGTCTTTAGTCATAGGGTTTTTTTGTTTTGTTTTTTTCCCAAGGAGAGTTTACTACAGGTGAAGGAACAGACATTTTTTGGCATTCATTTTAGTACTCCGTTACTAAGGTACTGTTTTTAATCGGTTTGGTTCTTGTACTTTCATTTGGCTGGACTCTGTGTTTATAGTGTGGGCTTTCGCATTCCTAGATGGTAGGGTTGGAGCGCCACTGCCGAGCCATTGATTTGAAGTGTTTCACTTGTTTCCCCCCCCCTCCTTTTTTACTTCCTTTTTGGGGAAGTTGTGGCCTAATGGTTAGAGAGTCGGACTTGTAGGTTGTGGGTTCGAGTCTCGTATCGGCAGGGATTGTAGGTGGGAGGAGTGAATGTACAGTGCTCTCTCCCACCTTCAATACCACAACTGAGGTGCCATTGAGCAAGGCACCGAACCCCCAACTGCTCCCCGGGCGCCGCAGCAAAAAAAATGTCTGCCCACTGCTCCGGGTGTGTGTTCACCGTGTGTGTGGGTTCACTGCTGTGTGTGTGCACTTTGGATGGGTTAAATGCAGAGAACTAATTCCGAGTATGGGTCACCATACTTGGCCTCACGTCACTTTCACTTTTTCTTTTTTTTATTCCACTATTCTTTGGTAATTTTGCTCACTTAAAAGTTACTGTATTTGTTGCAAAAAAGAGGGCCAAAATAATACATCATCCCAGTAGAAGCATTTGTTTCAGAAAGGCACTGCTTTTCATTAGCTGTTAACTCACTGCAATCCCTGTTTCCTCCTGCTGTTGCCACACCTTGTTTTATCTTTGCAACAATATTGATGGTCTCTGGTATGTAGACAGACTAGGAGCACTAGCACATTGTCTCTCTGTCATCATGCACAAGGCCTATTCTCCCTTCCTGTCTCTCAAAAAAATGACATTGTTTTAGAAGGACCAGGGATGTGACCTGAGATGTGATGATCTATTTATTTCTGGAGCTTTTCAGAGGCAGTGTTGGAGAGCATGAGCTCTGGAAAAGGGCACTCTGTGCTGTCCAGTGAAGTGAAATGGATTAACAATTCCTGTCAGTAACATTAAGCCTTAAAGATTTTACAAGTGTTGATATTTACTACTTTTAATAGGAAGCATAAAGCATTCTTCAAAACTGCTGTTCCACATAAACTAAGTCACAAGTTTGGAACAACACAAGGATGACAATGTTCATGACAGACAGACAGACAGACAGACAGACAGACAATCATTGTTTAAACTTTGAACAATTCCTGCTTTTCTTACAGGCTCAGCAGCAAACCTTCCAGTTCCCAGATATCTTTCCTGAGAAGGATAGGAAGCACGAGGAGGGCTCTGTTGAGGAGATGCAGGAGAAGTTCATGGAGGACGAGCGTCAGAGGCAGAAACCTGATCTCAGAAGAGGAGGAGTTACTGAATGGTTTGGCCTCTAGATAGACAAGTGTTGAATGAAGAATGACTTCAGAGAGGCAACAGCTGAATGAAGAATGTGGTGTATTGTAGATTATGTATTTGTGCAGGAAGAGTCATTTACAGTGATCTGACCAGTGTCCATAGAGGGCCGTTTGCAGTGATCTGATCTGACTCGATGGAAAGACAGATTGCCTGAGAGAAGGCTTGGAAATCCATTACTCCAATAGAATCTTGTGTTCTTTCAAAGTCTGTATGTGTACACGGTATGTCTACACAGCATATGATCCCTCCTAAGCTTCTGCCATGTCGTGAAAGTCTTTCAGGTTATGTTCTCCTCCCACAGGTCTCAGAAATTTAAACAAGTCTTCCTTGGAAAGTTCTTGAGCATACATGTTTGCTTTTCTTTAAAGTTCCTCCAAAATGTTTTCCTTTTCCCCTTGCGGATCTTCAAGATAGTTCATGAAATGCTTGCGGTAAATTGTCAATCTAATGAAGTGTCTCTCCAGTTTTCACGTGAAATCATACTCTTGTTGTTCCTGAAAGCTTTTTTTTTTTTTAATTACCACATACTTCAATTCCAATAAAACAGTACAGCATGACTTGTTTTTGTGTTTTCTTCAACTTTGTTGGCTCTAGAGTTAGCTATTCCCCACAGATGTGTTGGATAATCTTCATACCAGAGAGGCTTACCTCACCCAGCCAACCTGGTGTTCGCCAGGGAGAATGTCAGTATTGATAACATTTGTTCACTGTTTTGTGCTTGTACTCAAGTACCCCCCGCATTACAATTAAGCAATTTGATTTAAGACAAAAAAAATGCCTTGTAAGGAAACAAAGAAAGAACCCTGGATTTTTGTCCAGTATCTTCATTGCTTGAATGAATGAGGAGAGCCTACGTTATATTCGGGAAGTCTTACTGTGGTTGCCAAGGCTGGCCTCCTTCATCCCAGCATCCCTCCCCGCAACAACCCAATCAACTCCCCTCCTCTTGCCCAAACCTTATAAAACCTTGAAACACAATGTATTTAACTGAGCTTTACACACACAGCTGGCACAGATTTCCTGATTTGTTAACTTAATGTTCCCAACACACTGATATTGACCATAAAGTTCTGGATTTGGGAAGCCTTGGATCCTTGATCTCAGACCAGCAGTAATAGGAGTAATATGGTTGCGTTCCAGGATTATTGCTTTGTTTTAAAATGATGCTCCCCTACTGGTGATGAAAACTAAATGTGACCTCAGAATTTAGGAGGCAAGGGGAAAAAATACAGAACTGAGGGATTATGGAAGATGTGTCATTATTGAAAACTAGATGCGCCATCCATCTGATGCACACGTTCTCTTCTCTCATCTCCTTTCTAACCTTCTCCGTTCTTTAATGTCTTACGAAATTGACCGTGTGAGCCGTGTTCGCTGTTTCTCCGTGGAAAGCTAATGGAAGAGGGTTGAATATTTAACAGACTCTCTTTGCCTCTCATTCAGGCTCTTGTAAGAAAAGTGGGCATGATGCTATTTTTTACGCCATGCTTGGATCTGACATGACATCATTGTCTTAAGATAGAAGATGACGTAATTGAAACTCTGCATACTCCCATCACTAGCTGTACCATGAGGTTGACTTCCATCATTCCACTCGTGCCTAGATCAGATTGTCACTGATGTTAGCAACTCACTTGTTCAGATATCCATAACCCATTTTAACCCTAACCCTAAATTGCACATTAGAAAATGATACTACTAATGATATTACGTAGCTGTTAAATCCACAAAATGTTGTACAGACATGCATAATCCCTCAATGAATTCATCAGTTTGATAATGCAGTTTTTCTTCCTCCTTAAAATTGCGCAAACAGGCCAATTTTAAGCCAAATTTTTCACTTCACATAAGTGCATACCTGCAAAGCGTCTACTGGTAGGGAGTATCTTTGTTAGCGTTCCTCAAATACGCACTACTCAGATGACCTTTTATAAACTGTAGCTTGTTTCTCTCAGAGAAGTAGAATTTATACGATCTATCAAGAAAGATAAACTAACCTTTTCAACAATATGAATATATCATGGTTATTGTCCATTTAATAAATGTAAGCTTTTGCAATCATCCTGTGTGGTCTTCTGTTTCATACTGTAATGGGGGCTCCGTCCCCTGATAATAAAATATGTTGTCATTCTTGACTCATGAATATGGCTGTTTTTCAGTGATACTTGGGCCTTGGAGAGGCACATTTGGGTCTTTAAAATAAACAATCTTTCCACAGCTTCAAACCCAGCAGATTTGCTTGCTGTCAACATTCATTTGAGTGTCGATCATGAAGCTAATGGGCAAGTATTTCATTTTGACAATCTTCAGGAACTCAAGCATATATATTGACGCTCCTTTACTTCCAGGGTATGGTGCTGCCTTGAGTGATCTCCAGCAAAGGATGGGAAGATAAATACCTATAAATAGCTGCAAAGCAAATCTTGTGAAAAAACACTCACTACACATTTTAGTGTCTCTGAAAGATGTTCTCTAAGACAACCAGAGCAGGCCCAGAGTGAGCAGGAGTGTTGGACAGGAGCCATGGGCATTCCTGACACCCCCAGGTTGCTGTTGGTTCATTTGAGCTCAGCCAATGTACTCTGTCACCCCACATTTTCTGTCTTGGCCTAGTGCACAAACAGCAGTGCTTTTAGCCCAGCAGGAAGCTCTGTTGAAGTGCCCATATGCACAGCTGTATTCAAAGGAGATGTGCAGGGGGATGAGCTTACATTATGTCCACTGTCCCATACTATTAATATACCGTAGTTTACATATAATTATAGTAAAGGAACTTCTCTCTTATGAAGAGCATTTAATGTAAACAACTGGATTGTCAGATATCAGTAGCAGTTAGCAATAGCAGTTTTTTGGTGCTGTCGAATAACAGTGGGTGCAGTGTTTTATAAGAATCAAAATAAGAAACAAACCTAACACAATTGTAAACTAAAGGTCCTTAGGATTTGTGACAACAGCCAGCTGTGTATGCTTTTTTATCCAAACCTAAAGATTTTTTTTCTTTTTACATTTACAAAGGAGAGGAAACAATCAGGATTTTGGGAAATGGCTGAAACTAGATTCAATTTCGTTAGAAGCCAGATGGTACGTCAGAGCATGTGAACTTCCCACTATGCCACATCTACTTTAATCACTTCCTGCTTAGTGATGTAAAGCCTTTTCAGTTAATTGGTTGATCAAGTTCACAAAATGATTCATTCATTCAAATGAACTCTCAGTGATTTACTTATAGCTATCGCATCACTTCAGAAGACTTGAAATGTAGTGTATAACTCATATTGTTATGATACTTTTATGGTGAATTTCTGTTTTTAAAGCATATCCTTTTTGATGCTCATGCATTACAACTGCATGAAAAAGTACATTATTCAGAATGTCTGTTTGTTATTTGTGTTCCATGGTAGGTTTGGAATGGCATGAGGGTGAGTAAATGGTGACAGTATCTTGTTTAGTTTGGTTCTGTAAGTACTATGTAAGTTTAATGAAAATTTGGTTGTACAGTATGGCTGCCCCTTCTGTAAAAATAAACAGAAGTCTTGAATAAGCAGTATAATTACGCCGTAATAATTAAGCGGCAGTGTGTACGTGGCCAGTTGATTCGAGACATCCTGCACTGATTTATTTCTTGGAAAAAGCCTTTCAACCAGAGCTAGCCTATCATAAACATCAAGTAATCAGTCAAATCTCAGAACTGTTGTATATTTGTTGCACATTTCAACAACAAAAAATGTCTGATCCAGCACATTCACATTTCTTGCACTAGATCAGTTTCATCTTAACACACGTTATTACACCCAAATGGGGACACTATTTTCTTTTTACCAGTGATGTGTTTGCAAATCTCCTGTATAGTGGTGTGCCTTAGAGGGGTAAATAAGTTCCCCCGGCACCCCATTACTTCTTATCTGCAATCAACAATGCCTTATACCCACTGGGTGGTCTTTGTCCAAAGCAGCTGTTCAAGAAACACATTTGCATTTTAAACAAGTTAATGATAATAATGAAACTCAAAGAACAGGAGGTGGGGGCTGTTTTGATGTTCTGAATGTGACAGAAAAGGGTTTTAGGCTTGACAGTTTGTTGCCACCTAACCTGCTCCTTTAAAATACATAATCAATAGAATCATACAGATGAGAATCATTTTGACAGTGTTCTTCTGGCAGTGATTGTCTGTACTTCTGAAAGGTCCTCTTAATCCAACACTGTAAAATCCAATAGTTTACCTTACTTAGATTTAGTTAGTTATCTTTACTTAGTTGTTATACTTACTAGGTTTTATTAAGTTACAGCTACTTTCAAGGCAAATAAAACAATTTACTTACTGTTTTGAGTGACACTAAACCTAAATGAAAGGATCAAGTACCCCCTACAGTTCTTTTTTAGTTACTAGAACTCTCGTGTAAGTAAGCTATACTAACTAAGCATCTGTCAGTACAACATACTATTGCTATTTCACTTTACTTAGTTTTTTCAAGGCAATCGGTTTGCATGCTTTTTTTAAGTAAGCCCAACTAATTAGATTTTACAGTGAAGGTTATGCCAAATGTGAGCTTTATTAGTCTGGGTTTTAAACCGGGAACCTCAACATTCCACCTGAACAGCAGGACAACGTTCTGAGTTTAGCAAGTTGAGGAACCTGCAAGGTTAATTGAATTGCATCACTTGAATTATTAGAGTCTGATTAAGTGATATCAGGCGGGAAATACAATAAATGTTAGAGGATTTCATTTAGAGATTCTTAAACGTCTGAGAATGCTGTGGTTTTTTATTTAATGGATATGTGATGCCCCCCTGGCCTCACTCAAACGGATTGCTGGGAATAGTTTAGGCAGCACTACATTGTTAGTCACTGAAAGAACACACACACACACACACATCCTCTGATATCATTCAAGTGGGACCAATAGGTGATTGGAATACAAACCCACTCAAGAGAATTCCACGTGTTTTTGTAGGGACGGTGTATGAATTGAACTTTTTTGGAAACCTCAGCCAACATTTAGCTCAGAGGGAAACCTTGTGATGTGTCCTGGTTCTCATTTGTGTCCACTTCTTTTAGCTCAGCTGTGAAGATTGGTGCCTACCCTGGACCGATCCAAATGTGTGGCCTCAACCCACCATGATCTTTAAGGACATATTTGTTTCTCAGGGAGGTATGCAAGGTGATGTCAAGGCATTTCCCCAAAGGATTTACTGTTAGGTGAAAGGAAAGGAGAGCTTAAACAAACTCTTTGATTGCTTGGGGTCTGACCTTTCAACCCATCTTTCAAATGTCAAGCAGGCTGGAAGGGGAGGTGTGGGGGTCATGTGGTCCTCTAAGGCGAAAGCTCAAGGGTTTGGCACCAGGCCTCACACAGATCCTAGATAATTAAACACAATGTGATACAGATCATTACTGACTCCAGAACTCCTTGTTTCTGAGCAGAGGAGTCTCGAAAAAAGACCTCTTGATTCAAATTGGTGCTTCTAATCAAGAGCTGCCATTCCTCAATCTCTAGTCTGCATAAACTTGAT